TCCCCCTCGCCCCCCCCGGCGCAGGGTCCCCCCTCCCTGACTGTCCCCTCTGTCCCCAGCCCTGTCCCACCATGTCGGTCTCCAAACTGCAGGACGCAGATGAGGTTTTCGGTGAGTCCCCGGGGGGGCCCATGGGGTGCAGAGCCACCCGTGGGTGCTGCCCCCGTGGGTCCCCACCCGCCCTCGGTGTCCTCCTGCCTGCCAGCGGTGGGGGGGGGACTCCAGAGCTGGGCTTGGGGACAACACGTACTTGGGGACACAGGGACAGGCATGGGGCATGCAGCCACCTGCAGAAGGATGCATATGGGGCAGGGGGACAGGGTGGCACGGGGACATGCGTGGGGCACAGATACGTGGGTATGAGGATGGGGACGTGCATGGGGACACGGGGACACAGGGACATGGGGACACCGGGCACGCAGGCACGTGGGTATGGGCACGCAGAGGGCGACATGGACGTGGGGACACAGCAGGGGACATGGCCCAGAGCCACTCCTCAGGCTGGAGTTGGGGTGCAGGAGGGCAGGGACATCGGGGTGATCCCGGTCAGACCCTGGGCAAAGCTTCCTCCCCGCCGGGTGACGGGGACACCCTGTCCTCGGGGACACCCCCCTGCTGCTCTCCCCGTGCCGGGGCATCTCTTTCAACACTTCTCTCTGTCCCTCTGTCCCCTGTCCCACCCCACCGGGGTGCCCCATCCATCCACGTCCCCAACGCTCCCCTCTCCCTCTCCCGTCTCCGCTGGGATCCCCTGCCCGTCCTGTGACTCCCCCACCCTGTCCCCGTGCCCCGTTGTCCCTCTGTCCCTCTCCACCGGGCTGGCCGCCTCCTGACTGTCTCCACCTCTCCCTGCAATGCTCTCCCATCTCCTTCTCCCTGTCCCTAACCGGCCATCCATCCCTCCATCCCTGTCTCCCTGTCCCTAACTGTCCATCTGTCCCTCCATCTCTTCTACCTGGCCTTATCCATCCATCCCTCCCTCTCCTTGTCCCTACCCATCCGTCTGTCCACCCTGCCTCCTTTTCCTTACCTATCTGTCTGTCCATCCATCCGTATCTTCCTTCTCCCTACCTGTCCATCCACACTTCCATCCCTCCTCCCTGCCTCCCGTCTCCTTGTCCCTACCTCTTTTGTCCATCCCTGTCCCCATCCATCCCTCCATCCCCACCTTGTCCCTACCCATCCGTCTGTCCACCGTCTCCTTTTCCTTACCTACCTGTCTGTCTGTCCATCCATCCACATCTTCCCTCCCTACCTGTCCATCCATCCTTCCAACCATTCCTCCCTCCTATCGCCTTGTCCCTGCCTCTCCATTTGTCCATCCGTCTCCTCCCTCTCCCCATCCCTCTCTCCACATCCATTTGCCCACCCATCCACCTCTGCCCATCCCTGGCCCCCCTGTCCGTCTGTCCGTCTCTCTCTCTCTCTCTGCCCCGGTCTCTCTTTCACCCCCAGATTTTACCGCTGTGGTTCCAGAGACGCCGCGCCTGGACAGCAGCCTGCAGAAGGCCCGAGCCCGGCTCCTAGCCAAGGGCCGCCGGGACCGGCCCCCCCGCCCCCCCCCGCC